ATCGTTAATAAAAAAGATTTTTTGTTATCTAATGACAAGGTTGCAACAAAGTGTGAAAAAAAAAACATAGAAAAATAATGGACACAATTTAACATAAAAAAAAAAATATTCCAAAAAATTATTTCAAGTGTTAAATGATCTAAAAAAAACTATAGTAGTGCATAATTATAAGTGGTGCTGTAAATTTTGTCATTTTTTTTTCCCCTTACTAACCATTTCAACTTAACCTCTTTTAATTAATTATTCAATAATAAAAGAAAAAGAGAAAGAGAGAGAGAGAGAGAGAGAGAGATACAGACAGACAGAGATAATAATTAATAATCATTTAACAATTGCAAGATGACGCGTATGTGTCTGTGTCTATGTGTGTGTTTGAGTGTGTGTAATATAATCATAAGCAAAGTAACAATTTTTAAAGTAAAGATAGAGAGAGAGAGAGAGAGAAATAGAGAGATATAGAAAAAGAGAGAGATAGAGATAGAGATAGAGAAACATATTTGATAAAAAGATAAATTTTTATACATTCTAAGGTTCTTGGTGGCTTATGAAAAAACATACAATAATATTAATTAATTAATTGTGTATAATAATATTGATTACAATTAACTATTTAACGTCCGTAAAGTATATATTTTGTTGTTGTTGTTTCTTTTCTTCCGACATTTTTATTTTTTGTTTTATTTTGTTTTCCTTTGTTTCATTCAATTTGTTTGCATTATCTTTTTCATTTCTTTTTTTGTTTCTTCTTTTTCTTTTGTACACTCTGTTTATTACTAAAAAACATTCGTCTCGCATCAATGTGTTGAGAAAATAAATTATTAATATTAAATTTGAAATCTTTTTTTTTTCGTTTTCATTATCACTTAAAAGAGAGTTTATCTTTTCTTTTCTTACCGTCCTCTCCATCATCAACCACCACCATTTTTGTTTTTTTGTTTTGTTTTGTTTTCTTTGCTTTTAAACTTCAATTATACTGTCCCGTGTTTTTTTTTAACGTGTCACACTAATAGTTTTATTTTATTTTTTGTTTGTTTTTGTTATTATAGTTCGTTTATTAATTATGGTCTAAATTGGCAAATTAATTATTTGCATAATAAGTCGATAGGCCTCTTTTTTTTATTTATGGAACATTCTTCTTATTTCTTCTTCATTTCTTCATTTCTTCATCTTCTTTATCTTCTTCCGGTTTCTTATTTAGATTATTATTATTATTATTATTATTAATATTATTAATATTAATATTATTAATCTTATTATTATAATTATTACTATTAATATTATTAATATTATTATTATTATTATTATTAATATTATTATTATTATATATTTTTTTGTTTACTTTAATATGCACAAAAAGACACAATCCGAAATTGATGTTTCTTCAAA